CAGGGCCTGACCACACTTCCACTCCTTCCCTGGGCTGCAAAGCTGAGGTCCACCTCCCAACTCCAACCCGCAGGCAAGGGAGCAGCCCAGCCTCATGTGTTTTGGGGGTCTATCCAGGTCTAACTCACACTATTTCAGGTACAAAAATCAAACTTGTCTTCTTCCCAGATCCAGCCCTGCCTTTGAACTTCTCCATGTCCATGAATAGCACCATTGTCCCTCCAGCCATGCAGTGTCAGAATTCCAGAATATCTTTACTTTTCCAGGATCCCACTCTTACAAAAAGGTTATGGTGTTCAGCAGATTCTACCTCCAGGGGGTTTTATCCTGCCCGCCTTATTCCTTTGTCTCTGTTACTGCCCTGGATAATGCCTCTCAACAACCAGCCATTGCCGCACTGAGCCCAAATCTCACTGTGACTTTCCTTGACTCCAAACTTCTCTCGGTCCCTCATTACCTAGTGAACTCAGTAGGGCTGAAGTGCTCCCTGGGGGCTGGTCATGTGACTCATGGGTAGGGTGCTTCTGGGCTCTATCCTTAGAAAGAAGGAAGGAAGGAAGGAAGGAAGGAATGAGTTTTCCCTGAAGACATTGGCTTGCCTGCAGTTCTAATGCAAAAGGCACCCCCCCCAAAAAAAAATGTCATGTGGGGAGAAATAGCCTTATTTTTATGTAAAATCATGGTAGGAATATCCCATTGTAGTTCAGCCTGTGAAGCCAAAATTAGAGAAGTGTTCTTGGGCCTTGAAGTGGACAACCAACAGAACCGATATGTAATGTCTTAAAAAGCTTAGTTTATCTCACGGGCAAACAACTGTAAGAATGGGCAGTGGATGACCAAGCTACACTACTCAGAGAGCCCAGGCTGGGTGGGTTGTGTCCAGTCTTTGATTCTCACATCAGACAAGGTCATTGAGTGCTTTATATGTCCCTTTAAGTCCCTTTGAAGGGTACTGGACCACAGGCCATTGTTACTAGAAGGCCCAAATTATCCAAGCTCTGGCTCCTGTTGGCTTTGTGATCTTTCTTGACCAGCAGGTCCTTTGGTTTTTTCTGAGCCTCAGGGTCCTCATCTGTAAAATGGGAGCAAACCTACCTCAAATAATTTTGAAGATAAAATCAGACAATTACAATGAAAACTAAAAACATTTTGTAGTCTACAAATTAATCCACCTACCTACTTCAAGGGACTTATTATTGCTGCTGTCATTGCTATTGTATCAGTAATGGCAGGGCTTTGGTGTTGCCACCAATGTTTGTTTCTTCAGCTATCAGTACTGATAATGAACAGTTCTTGAGCACTGATCAGGCACTACTGTGTTACATGCTTTAAACCCATTGTCTATTTTAACCCTCATAACAACCTTATTTTGCCAATGATGACAAGAGGGCTCAGGGAGATGATACAGTTGCATGAGGTCCCATGTTTATAAGCATTGGTGGGATTTTTCTGATCCACGGCCCACATCCTTTCCATCAAATTGCAAATTGCTAGGTGACAGCAGGTAGATGGTTAAACCTAATCTCACCCATTCATTCATGCAATAGATATTTTTTGAGTTCCTATTACTGTCACACAGCATAAACAACTGAGGTAATGTCAATGGATCAAGCGGCCCTCTGCCAGGAGGAAGAGCTGCACTGGAGACCTTAGATCCTGCTTTCAAGTTAACCAAGTTCAAATGCATTTGTACATTTCACAATATCATAGTTTTAAGAACTGGAAATACCTTGTTTTACCGACAGGATGGCTAAGGTCCAGCAAGGATGATGAACTTGACCAAGGCCAGCGTTCGTTGTAAATGAACGGTAGAGCAAGGACTAGAAATTGTAACTCAAACGTTTTCTGACTCAAAGGTCAGGGCTGCCTTACTGACAGCAGCCAAGGCAAATACAGGTGGCCAGACCTGCCCCAACACGACAACATGTACATATGCATTTGAGCACGATGCTTCTGGAGCTTTGAATGTCTTCTCAGACACGTAGGGTTAGGAGGCTTAAGTTAGACTGAAGTAGGGACTCACTGGGCATTAGCAGAGTAATCTCCAGGCCTCGTGTCCAGTCTTTGGTTGACTAAGCAGCAGGGTCAACACTGGTGCCCAAGCCCTGTCCCAGCTAAAGGAGGAAAAGCACCAAAAAAACCTATCATCCTCATTTTTACAGTTGGGAAAAGTAATTGATGCTCAAGTAATTGGTAAAACTTGGATTTAACATTCAGGTCTAATTCCACAATAGGATCTCTTTCCCAATAGCATTACCTCAGGCAACTCATGACTTGTTGATCAGTTTTCCCACAAGAGATAAACAAGAGGCACCCACACATTTTGCCTGCCTCCAGGGGCTGTTGTGACAATCATGGTGTAATGGATAGAAAATCACTTTTTAAATTGTTATAGATGCAAATGAAATAACACGGATACATCTAGATATGGACATAAACTTTACATGGAGCTAACATGCTGGATCTGGAGGCCATTCAGTATCTAATCCAATCATCCGATTTGACCAGACTTGAAGCTAGTCTCATGAAGCTGGGTGGTTGCAGAGTCAGGACTAGAGTTCACAGATTTTGGTTTCCATTCCAGGGCTCTTTCCCCAAGGGACCACGAGGAATTTGCAGAGCTGGATAGAAAAGTGGCTGCTGTGTTTCTGTGGTTCCCCCTCCAAGCCTGCTGTGAGGGGGGACAGGCATCCTCATAAGGGGCAGAGGAAGGACCCCCAAGAAAAAGGAAGCCCAGGGGCAGAGCTGAAGCAGAGGAGAAAGACTGTGACCACTGGTGTGGGGACATGGGCACAGGAGCCCACGGGGCACACAGCCAAGGCAAGGCCAGAATTCTCCCAGGTCATGGAGGGCAGCCTGGCGATTACCTGGCTTTACTTTTAAGAAACTGAGACCCAGAGATGGCCTTGTTCAAAGTCACACAGCAGTTAGGAAATCTGAGAGGCTTTCTGTTTCTAAGAATAGGTTGGCGGGTTCTGAAGTTAAGAGGCTGATGAAAACACAAGAATAGTATGGCCTAGGCATCCGAAGCCACCCTCTCCATGAAAATACATAAAAGTTCTGGCTAAAATATATAAGGGATCCCTCAAATGCAGCGGTCATCGATTTCTACCCAGCTTGTCAGACCTCAGGTGACCTGTCCCCAGGCCCACCTGAGCAGCATCTCTTAGCACTGGGCCCCTGGGCTGTGACACTGGCTGTGGGCACAAGAGAGCCTTCCTCTTTTGTTTGCCATTGCTCTAAGCCCCCCAGTCAAACCCGCACCCTCTCATGCCCCACAGGTGAACAAGGTCAAGTCCTCTTCTGAATGTCTCCCGGGTGGATGTCCTCTCCCCCTGCCCAAGATGCTGTCCTGCATCTTCCTTCCCAGAGTTCTGTGCCCGCCACTCTGGTGCCCTCACTTAGTCCTAACTCTTTTTTTCTCCTCTGATCGTTACCGTCCAACCACGTGGAAATGCCCGTTTCTCAAGCATGGCTGTGACCTCTGAGTCCTCCTGGCTTTCAACCCCTCTCCTCTCCTGAGCAGAGCGCCTCTCCCCACCTTCCCTGCCTGCAACTCCTACTCAACCTAAAGACCCACTGGAGAGTTTCCTCGGCTGTGGCAAAGTCAGAAGTTCCCTCCTCTAGGTCCCACGGTACTTCTGTCTATTGCACTGGGATGATTTTCCACATCTCCTCCACCATCCAACCTGTCATTCCTTCCGGGAAGAGGTTAAGCCTAACTCAGCATTGACCCCTTGGAGTGGGGCACAGTCTGGACTCTGGTTAACCATCTGTGCAAATCTACCCCGGGGAAAGAAGGCTGAGCTAAGGACTCTCCAGAGCCATGGGGGTGTCCTGCCCCGTGGCCCCTGAGGCTGCGCTGAGCTTCCAGGCCCTCTGTGTGTGTGGTGCAGAGTCGCACCCCTGGGTTGTGAGACTCCATTCACATTCCAGCCTTGCAGCCTCCTTCCTTGCTGTCTTCCTTCAGTTATTCAGCAGCTAGGGGCATTGTGGTGTGTCAGTTTAGCTAAGCTGAACTACACTTCTGACCCCCGTGATAAACCCTTTTTCTCCATAGCCCACAGATGGGACCCCCTAGACACTAAGGATGGGAAAAGAAACAAGCCATCACCCTCTGGGATCTCAGAGTCCCCGGCTGTACAACTCAGGGGAGCAATTAGATGATCGTTAAGATTCTCAGCTGCTCTTCAGCTGTATGACTGGACAAGCCCCCACTTCCAAAGCACATGCAGCCACTCTTTGCACATGTATGGGTTCAGGGAACTCATTCATTCCTCCCAGAACATGGTGCTGTGAGTCAGATAGTGATCCAGAAACCACGCTCAGATGATTTTGGGGCTGTGTGTGCCTAGGGATAAAAGAGAGACCTTTGGATTCTGACCACCAGTGAGTTCAGCCAACTACATGCTATTTTGTTGTTTTTGTTCATCTTGAGGTCAGAGAGCTCCTGGGCTCCATGCAGAAAGTAGGGGGTGGGCAAAAATTCCTCAGTGCTGTGCTTCTCAAGCTTGTCAGCAGGGAAGGAACAGCCTTTTTAAAGAATTTCCAGTTCGTCACTTGATTGACACTTTCATATTTCATAAAATATGAATAAAAATGAATCATTGGGAAAATGAAAATCATAAAAAAAGAGAATAGAATAATGTCACTTGAGACTAGGGATTAGGGGGGTGGGAAAAGTGACAGAAAGAAGTGAGAAAACAGATATCAAAATACAATTAGAGGAATCAGTTCTGGTGATCCACAGCCCAGCAGGGTAACCATAGTCTACAGTTGATGCTCTATTTCAAAATAATTGGAAGAGTTCAAAAGTTTCCAACACAAAGAAATGAAATGAAATGTTTGAGGAGATGGAAATGCTGACTGCTCTCATTTGATCATTATGTATTATATACATGTATGGAATTGTCATACTATACTTCATTAAAGGGGTACAAATATTATGTGTCATTTTTTTTAAATTTTAAAAGGAAACTGAAATATAAAAAAGATGCCAATATTTTAGCTCAGATTTTTTTTATTAATGTTTACAGGCAAAAAATTATTCCGTCAAGTTGCTAAAACATTTCTGAAGGTCTACTTCTCAGTTCTCTCACTTCTCAGAGACAGACAGCAATTTGTGGGCAGGTACTGACTTTGGAGTAAGGCTCCCTATGCCCGGTGGGCTGGGGAGAGACCTCAGCTGGTGATGCGTAGGCCCAGCGTCTGAGCTTTCTTGTTCTTCTGGTGCTAAACGAAGAAAACAGGTCTTGGAGTCACTCACTCTGTGACCAGGCCCTTCCAGATTTCTCAGGTTTCTTCAGGTTTCTCATCTGCAAAATGGAGCACAGGTAGAAGGGTAAGGTGACACACGTGAGGGCACCTTGTGAACACTTTGCATTGCGTGGTGCACAGCAGCAGGGCCTAGGCTGGGCGTTGGCTGTGGCTGCTGATTCCTAGTTGGTAAAAGGACTCGTCCAGGAGCACATTTTGGGAGTCCTAGGGGCAGAGGCAGAGCTGGAGAGACGGGTGGCATCTTGCTGGGTCCAACGTCCGATGAAGAACTCTTGAGGTCTGTCTACAGGCATGGAAGAGCACGGGGAAGACTGTGAGGCATCCTGCAGGCTCGGGGTGCTGAGGTCTGCAGGCAACAGGGCGCAGGGACTTTGGGAGTGGGGAAGAGGTCCCTTTGAGAACAATGGGGTCCTCTGCAGTGCCTGCTAACAGGGGCAGTAGTGAAGCATGCTCTTCAAGGAAGCGAAAATGGACAAGTTCGTGAGCACAGACAAGACACTCTGGTCCCTGTTATAACTGGGCAGAAACTTGATCTCCAGTGTGCATTCTCAAAGGGGCCATGGTGCCCCTAAAGGGGGTAGAAAAAAAAATCTTATTCTTTTTATATATAAAATAGATGTACAGTGTGCATATTGGCTCGCACCTGCAATCCCAGGGACAATGGAGGCTGAGGCAGGAGGATCTTAAGTTCAAGGTTAACCTCAGGGATTTAGCACGGCTAAGTAACTTAATGAGACACTGACTCAAAATAAAAAGGGCTGGGGATGTGACTCAGTGGTTAAGCAAGCACTTCTGAGTGGTTAAGTACCAAAAAATAAATAAATAAATAAAAAAAAGAAAGAAAAGGAAAAAAAAATACCCCACAGATGTGTAAACCAATACAGTAGTTAGTTATTATTTATCCACCATTTAATTTTCTGAGGTTTCAATTACCCACAGTCAACCACATCCCTCAAATATTATTGGTATATTGTTATAATAGTTTTATTCTTTAGTAGTCATTATTGTTACTCTCTTAGTGTGCCTAATTTGGGAGTTGAACTTTACCATAGGCGTGTCCACACATGAGTGAACATGGTGTGTGTGTTATTCAGCACTATCTGAGAACTCAGGCACCTGCAGAACAGCTGGCATCATAACCCCTGCCGTTCAGGGGAGACTATGGTAAACAGCTTATCTGTGGTGTTAACATTTCCAGGGGGGGTTCCATCAGGGAGAGAAACATCTCAATGGCTCCTTGGGGGTCCAATAAGGAAAAAGAAGGACACACCGCCCAGGGCTCTGCAGAACTGCCACTATGTAGGGAGAAGCCAGTGCCATTTTTCACATGTGCTATGAACTCACTGGCGTCCCCTAGACTGGTGAGACCCAGGGATAACCGAATTGCATTTTTAGTAACAACAAACCCCAAACTCCTGAGCTCCCTGTGCAAGGCAGGGGGGACATTGCAGCCCTGCCCACGCCCACCACTCTACTGTACCAGGCCGGTCTCTTCTGGAGCCCTGATGCATCCACGAGTCACCCTTGGCTCCTTGTGATCTCAGAACTATTTTAAGAAGCTAGCATTTCCCCCCCAGGCGCTGCATGAGAGAACCTGGGAGGACTGGTGCCAACTGTGGTTAGCCTTAATGAGCAAGTCTCTGCTCTTATGCCAGCTTCCAGAATGGCGCCTCAAGCCTTCCTTTCTCGCCCTGGCTTCAGCCCTGCAGATACTCTGGTGGATCCGCGATGGCAAGGCAGGGGAAATCGCCCTCCCTCCCGACTCGTGTGTGGGCCAGCACACTCCCCGGGAGCCTCCCGACAGTCTCGCTGCTCCATTCAGCTTGAGTGATCTTAAAATACAGGTTGGATCCTGTCATTCTCAGGCTTAAAACCTCTCTCTTTTTCGAAAGTTCAAAATCTTCATGTCAGGCCTGCTTGTGGGTTTTGGAAAGTCAAGTTTATTCCTGTTTCGTGGCCTTTGTCCAGACCTCTGCTTAAAATGTTCCTCCTTGTCCCCTGCCCACGTCTGGCTCAAAAGTTTCCCAGAGTTTTCGCTACCCACCCCCGACCACCTCTGCTTGTTCCCGCCACCCTGTTTGTCTCCTCCGTAACACATAGTTGTCGTGCTTTGTAATGGTTGGTTTGCTGGTTCATAATTGTTTCTCTTCCCACCAGACTGTTAATTTCCTGAGGGTGGGGACCAGGTCCATCTTGCCCGTTACTATATATTCAACCCCGAGGAGAGTGCCCAGCACATGCCAGGCAT